ATTTTTTACACCCATGCCGATAAACCGCACGCTGGGAGTCGGGAATGGAAATGAAAGCCGCATGGATCAGCAAAAAAAGACAAAGGATCTCCTGGAAAGAGCAAATAAGGTCCTGAGGGATGCAGGAAAAATAAAGAAGTGAAACACACCTAAGAGTAAGTCTACAGGCAAGCACACTATGGCCACTGTAACACCCAACATGCACTGTTACTGGTTCTACAATTGTGAATTATCAGCATTCTGCTTTGCCAGTTTTACACGTATGGCAATAGAAGGCAAAAAGCTTTTCTTCTGCAAATATACCAACGGTCACTAAGGACATACTGTTATGCAACACTATACTTAAATCAATGGAAAACGTTTACATACAAATAGTAATATCCTTATGTTTAATAAACGTGTCAACTTGAAACTGCAAAAAGTACCATCACACCACCAACGTCTTTTTACATTGTTTATCCACAATATCTCCTCTTTAAAAAGCTGTTGTGGCTGTTGAGCTGTCCCTTCCTCCACTGCCACTTCAGTGCTTATCACTTCCATGATTTAACAAAACAGCAGTATGTGGTGCGCTACACTAATCGTTTTTAAATAAACATTGGGATTTGCCGAATCTATACAGATTACTAACTTTTGGGTATCACAATATGTCTCTCATTAACATTTCAAGCATACTACTACTCCGCTTAACAAAGCGCAAGTAAACACCCATATAGTACCACAAAGCTGGTGTCCAGACAAATGCTTACTCCCGACATATAAAGCCCTGATGATTATTGTGCATGCGCCATATAATCACAATTATATCGTGATGTGATATTGTGTAGCCCTGATGTAAAGAATACTCAACGTATTATACGACTTTTTCCTCATCATGTGATCAAGTCTGTATTCAAAGATCATTTGATAATCAGCGCAGGATTATAACTAACTAAACAATGACATGCAACTATGCAAAGCAAAACAATCCATTTTCTGATTATTTTTTTACGTTGTGTAGGAAAGGTTCATGCATTTCAGATTGTGATACTGTAATATTGTTTAAAAAAAATCAATAACAACACTAAAAAGCAGAAAGGGGGGGATGAATTCATTTTGTGATTTTGGCAATGATCAATGCTTATATTTCCCTAAAAACCTGAAAATTTTCATTCACATAACAAAAAGTGGTACCTTGGAACATAAACTTAATTCATTCCAGAAGGCTGGTCGACTTTGGTGATTTGGTCGAGGTCCAAGTCGAATTTCCCCATAAGAAATAATGTAAATTAATTTAATCTCTTCCAGCCTCCAAATAATTACCTATATCTACCTACCAATTTAATGATAAAAAGCATTAACAATCAATATTAAATTAATACACATGACAAAGGACACATACAAAAGCAATAAACATAAAATACATGACAATTTATAGGCACGTTACCTGTCCTGAGGTGAGCTGATGGCAAACTGGAAGTGGCAGGTGGAGAGGAGGAATGGAGGGGTTATTGTTTGGAAGGGGACATGCATCTCGATCCATACAAGTTTTAGCAGGTCTGTCTTGTATTGCTGTGTTCTGAGTTTTCGGATGGGTTGCAGTTAGATTTTTCTTGACCGACCCGTTCAAGATCCGAATTGGTATAGTTGAATGTGTCTTGACCCGTAAAAGTTTTAGCACAAACGGTCGAATTCCAAGATTTCAGTCAAGGTACAAGTAGAATGAAATTTGACTGACCCACTCGAGATCTGAGTTAGTTAAGTGAAGAGACATTCAAGTTCCAATGTTCTACTGTATAAGTGTCAACTTCACTGGCAGGTAGGCAGGCAGAGTGACAGATGGATGGATGGATGGATGGATAGATGGATAAAATCTACTGTTGCTGTCTTAACAGATCTACACATCTGTGATGTATATCAGAGGACATAAACAACACTGGCGATGTGCTTAATAGTTTAATTGAATATTACTGGAAACTAAATTAAACAGATGACACACAAACTGTGTTTGTGTAATGACTCTGTGATGCAGAACTCAACAAATTTTCTCAATTTATTGCATTTAAATTCTGAACGCTGTAAACTTTCCCCCATAGACTTTTATTTTTGCTAAATCTTAAAAGAGCAGGAGGGTGATGGGTTGAGCTGCCAAATCTGGGGTAGCAAGGAACGAGACAGTAACCCTCCCTGCATCAATCAAAGCCAGCGGAGGGGCCTGCAGCGGGGATCCGGTTAGATCCCTGCTGTGGCACATCAGCAATGGCAAGAAGGCTCAGAGAATGCAAATTAGCTTTTGCTCCATCAGGTGGGTCAGGCAGCTGGTCTTCCTTGATTTCTATCATGATTTGCTCGCACCCAGGAAATTACAGGGTTTTAGGTAAGCAAATGCTGCTTTAAGAGCCCTATATCTTATAATACAAAGTGAAATTAACAAGGCAGCTGCAGATAAAATATGTCACAGTCTATGTTCATGCAGTGAGTTTTGCACTTTGGGAGAGACACTGCTGAGGATTGGGGTAAGCATAAGAGCAAAAACTAACCAAACAAAGAGGAAAACAACTTCAAAGTTCACAATAAATGCTTTAGCAGTTTAACAAATCAATTTATGTCAGCCAAAAGAATTCTATATTTTTCAAGTGGGGTGATAACGATATTTCCCAAAGATATTTGGGAATTTTGCATTGTTACAGCAGCAAAGCGGACAATCAAAGATGAGCAAAAGCAGCATAACCTGTAACATATAGCAATAACAAACTATGCCATATAAGAAAAATATATAAATGTATACATGTGAATATGTATATACACAAAAGCGGACATCTTCAGATGCCTAGTAGCAGCAGAAATTGAGTGAGAAGAAAAAAAAAAAAAGAAACAGTGAGTAAAAGCAAATAGCAGCAGGAACTGAATGCTTGATGACAAGCAGAGATGACAATGTTAGGGACACTGCACTTACTACTTGATGAACCACTGCACTTTATATGACCGTAATGGGTAACACTGCGGCCTCACGCATCCAGTGCTGGGGGTCTGACTATTTCCCTTAGCTTTATGTGTGTGGAGTTTATCACTGTACGACATGCAGGTAAATAAGCGTCTATCAGTTGCAGTTGCCCAATATGTGTAGGTGTATGCCCTATCGTGGACAGAAATCCAACGTAGGTCAACCCCTGCCTCTAGGGTCCGTAATCACCCTTTTGCCCAGATTGGAAATGCGGGATACTGAACCACGGGCATCACTCACATTGCGCGCATCAACGCAGAATGATATATCTCCTGGCATACACTGATACTATGCAAAAGCAGGTCATATTGGGAAAATCTGCGAATTGCATATTAAACTTCACTAATCAAACAACCTACATCAACTTAGAGGGACAATGCAGGTTAATAGGTTATTAACCTGATCCCTCTTTACATTCTCTAAATGGTCTTATGGTGCACTTCTGGTCCTTGAATAGTCTTATTAGGTTCCTGCTTTGTCATAAGTCATTGTGTATCTCCTGCTCCAGTACTGCTTACAGTACATACCTGGGCATTCATTGGAAGCTCAGCCTAGCTGCAATTACGCTTAGTAGACTCCCGTTGACACCACGTATGTTTGTAATGTGCAATTGGCTCATTTGTATGTCACTTTGGACAAAAGCATCTGTAAAATGTGTAAATGTGATAAGATGTTATTTATTCGCAATAAAAATAGAATACACGACAAATAACATATAACAATAGATGTCTGAGGCCATGGACCTGAGGCTCATAGATTGCCATAAAAGGTTTCCTAGTATAATGCTATTTCTGGGTAACTTTGTAACGTTTTCTTAAGGACAGATCTTATTTTGTTCTGAGACTCATTTTCATGCATATTCCTGCCTTTGTCCTAACAATGCATCGTCATTTTCATCAATGATACCTAAGTCCGCATTCCTGATCAAAGTAAACAAATGCATTTACTACTGATAACGACCCGATTATAGGGAATATTTGAAAAAGACCGAAAGTCATTGCAGATTGTCTGTTGTAAATTATACATTTTACCCGGCTGTTCCCAGGCTCACTGTAATTACAGGGCCTCAGGCCATTTTAACCCGAGACAACGCCAATGCCATTGAGGTTAAAATACCAACTAATAACTGTGGCACCGTGCATTCACATACACGTTTACTTGTTAGTTAAATATTTCATATTAACACAATTATACGGGCATAAAATAATTACTTATTACAGTAGCACCATAAATGAAAGTCATCCTCACAGGCATTGAGGAAAAACTATAACTTATACGAAAGGCAAGGGAGAACAGAGTGAAACAGCGATAATGATAATAATAAGATGACAATCAGAGGTCTGTAGTAGCTAGTTAACCAACTAGGCTTTTAAAAGTGCAGGCAGTCCGGGTGCGGTTAGCATCCACATAAACAGAGGCCGGTGCGGTCACTTCTCATACCAGCTAGCCGTATTAGAGAAACATTTGTGCCTGTAATTGTGGAGAGAGCAACTTCGAGGTGAAAAGCGGTGTAAAATTAATGCTTATGAAATAAATGGACGAGTAAATGACGGCTGTAAGTGGGGGGAAAAAAGTTAAATGAAATAGCATTTAGCCGCATAGGCTAACAGCCAGCGCTAACCTGCTGTGCTCTCCAGTAAGGTGCAGCTCTCATCGGTAATAAACAAGCTCGCGGGCCACAGGCCAGTTCGCCTGTTATTATACCATATATGGCAACTTTGTTTTAAAAAACGATATGTGGAGCTCAGTGCTTTAGACACAGGCTAGCAGGACGTGCAAGCAGCATCGCTATGATTCAGTATGAATAAGGACCGCCGATGCTGTCAATGGAAACAGCATCGGTCTGGAGTGCCGTAATAAGATTGCAAACGGTGCTTCACACCAGCGATACCTCCATGTACAAAGTTGACCGTTTCGCTAGCATTTCACAGCAATAACAACAAATGATATTTCTTAAAATCACTGAGAACATAAAAGGCATTTAAAATGTTTACCATGCAAAACATTCGAGACGTACCTTATCCAGAGTCCGGTTTTGGCAAAAGATTTGATTTCAATGCATGTCATCGGTAAATCCAACGCACATTTGACCTAAAATAATTACTTTATGAAATAATTTATAACATGATTAAATCTGTTTCGCTTTACTTGAACACACCAGAAATATCTATAGAACTGTCCTCACTATCAATACCACTAAAAATCGAGGGTTAAAGCGCGCATGGTATGAACCATTCCGTTTAGGGGGGAGCAACGTTCCATTTTCTATTAAATTGTAGAAAAAATTGAATTGTTCAATGTTATTTTTTATTGCAAAATATCAAAGAAGATAAAATGACCAAAACTCGACTGGGTGCTGTATTCAATATCAATACGTGTTGTTGTGTATTAGGAGAAATAATGACACCCACTCTGTTACCATAGTTGCGGTTTCCAGCACAAACAGTAAGGTGGACGCACCATGGAGAGGGACCCTACAGAATGACTGAAAGAGATTAGGTAATAATAACTCATTCACACGGCGCTTTTCCTGGAGGTGCTGACACAGACATTTAAAAGAAGAGGAAGAATATGCATTAAAAAGCTCGTAATACTGCTGTAAAATATACTAAATAGAACACAAAAATAATAATTATAAGGACATTGAGTCATAAGCTACCTTATTGCCTTTTAAAAGAGTACGTAAATGATTTAGACATTAGATCATCCAGAAAGATTTTGTTCTTTGATCTGGGATTGTGTTTTTAAGGTTTAAGGTCTAGCCATTAAGATGGTATGGTATAAAATGTATGCTAAAAGCATTTCAAATCAAATCAAATTATTTCAAATCAGCTATCAGGCACATAAAGCTAACGATGAAATCTTAATTACTTTTCATGTTTGTACCATGCCTTTACCACCGTTTTTGGTGATATAGTTCAAAATTCAAAGGGCTGAAAGTTACATTAACGTACTTTAATGGAGCATTTCACATTAGAAGCAAGGGAATCCAGAGAACCTACTGTACTAACGCTTTTACTCATGATACCCACTAATTAGCATAAGCATTTGTAATAACGGTGTAGCCCTTTACATTTAATCCTAAAAAAATGATACATCACAATTCCAGTTTACAAATTGAGGATTAAATGTAAAGTGCTACATCATTATTACAAAAATGAAAAGAATATTTATTGCATAAAGTCTCAGGAGCATATAAGTATTATATCCTAACATTCATCCATCCAACCTTCAACCCTTTGAGAGCCTATTACCTATCCAAGGAATAATAGGAGACAAGCTAGGGGAGCACAGGATGCAGGTAAAAAGACTGCTAACATACTGTATTAAATGGCTTATTAAGGAATGTGACCATGTGAATTTATAAGATTGGTCTAGTCTTCCTCAGAAGCGTAGCAACAGGACAGGCAGGGCAGGCAATGGCCTGGGGCCCCAAGCTGAGAGGGGCCCCGAGGACAGCCAATTACATAGTACTTTGTAACAACAAATCTCCTTTATTTGTGTACTCTGTTTTTCACAAAAACATATTAAATTGATTAAATTCTCTTTATCAGCGCTATTAATAGACTTCACACTAATGCTAATAAAATTTACCATCTCAGGAGAGGGGGAGTTGGGGGGCCCATGGAGTATTTTTATTTTTTTTGCCTTGGGCCCCCAGAGTCCCAAGAATCACCTCTGCAATCCCCATACTCATAATGTGTTTAAAGTAGTTTTATGCCATATGTTTTTTTCTTATATTCTGCTTCAGCCTATGGCAACACAGTAATTATGTTTCAAAATTACATGTCTTTAGTAAAATTAAGTTGTTAATTTGTGAAACACAGCTGTACAGCCACATAAAATGCTCAAGGGTGCGAGAGAAGCATAAGTCATATCTCAAAAATGCAACTTTCTGTTTACAGGTTTGTTTTTTTTTATCAAATACACAGTTTCTTGCTCCTTATGGGCAGAATTTGATATTTGATTTTAACCTACATTTAATTTTTTTAAATGTTAACAGTATAGTACTGCATAGGATTAGCATCCTGCTCAAGATTCAAGATTCAGGATAATTTATTTGTCACATACATGTTATGCAGTGAAATATATTACCTAAGTCACTCCTGGACTGTGCAGTAAAAAGAAGTAGAGAAAGAAAAGCTTTTAAAGCTTTTTAAGATTTAAAAATTAAAAATAACCATTAATAGACTAAGGCAATCAGGAAGAAAATTGTATAAGTGGGTTAGTGTACATGGACAATGAAGTAGCAATGTACATTGTTTACAGTAGATTTAGAAAATCTACAAATTTAGAAAAAACACTGTACAAAGTAGTATTGTCTTGTAGGGATCCAGACTTTTGAAATGCAGACTTAGGTGCGTGCAGACTGGAGTACTTCACTTTATTTTTTGTTTGTTTGTTTATCATACATACCAAGACGCTAAGTGAATAAGCAGTTAGTAGGCGATGAGCATATTTACTGTATCACCAAAACAAAAGTATCATATAAACCTGGATTTGGCACTTAGCATGAAATTGCTGTTTATAAGATTCTTTGTCTGAGTCCGAAAATGTACTTTATGTTGTCATTTTGCAACTTTGCTTTCCAAGATTGTAACAGTCATGGGCCTGTACGAGAAAGCTATATTTGGGAATGAACCTACGGGAAGAGCAATTGGTTAGGTCTCACTATCCGGTTACAGCTGGCCACTCCATGTTGCTATATTTAGTTTTAATCTGTTTTGTGCAACACTGAATATATTGTTTCTGAGGGTTTATTTCCTATTTATGATGTGGAAGTTGGTGTTCACAAAAATTGATTTATCCTTAAGCTATTCCTGAGCAGTTGTTGATCCAGTTTGTTTTTACTGTGTTAATGAATATTGGAGAGAATTTAGATCCTGCTGAGTCATCTGACCTGCAAGCACCAATAACGTAGTTTATGAATCTCACCTCCTATGTCTACCTGTTACCCTGACCAGGATAAAGTGGTTGGATGAATCTCCTGTTACTTATAATGAATAGTTGGATGAACCTCTTGTTACTTATAATAAATAGTTGTGTTTTTATTTATTATTATTGTTATTTCATAACTTCTATGATGTTATGTCTAATGCAAAATACATTTTCCATTCAGGTAAATTTTTATGAATCTAATTTGTAAATATGAATCTAATTTGGAGCTTGCAACCTTCTGTTTCTCAATTTGCTTGTTAATGGATTTCTGCTAGATTATTTGAAGAGTTGGATCATCATATTGACCACTAGAGGGAAGTAGAACTACAAATGTGCAAATTACCAATGTGGCATTTTGTTTTTTTTGCAAAAGAATATTAAATGCAATATAAAATTTTCTATTTCAAGTATAGTTCGTAGTCATAAGTATATGTCTGCTTTTTTACAATTTTCACAAGGCAGCACAAGGTCACACTATGTTTTTAAAACTACAGTTAAGTAATTTTATTGTAAATATCTCCTGGTACTGCTGTAAACAAAAAATCAAACGAAACAAGAAAATAAATGAAAGTGATTTATTTTAAACATACATGTTATGTGACAACACTGTCATTTTAAAATATTGTATGTTTATGTAATGGATATGTGTTGTATATAATGTGTATATTAGTTTCAAAATTTAACACGATGGCTTGGTGCCTTGTACTGTATATACATATAGACCTACCTTTTACATACATATACACTGACCTGTTAGTTTACCTGTCTGACATTATTCTACACCTATTACAACAAGCAAATCAGAGACATGTTCCTTTTGTCACTGCTTTTAAATTCTTCCTTGCTGTCATACTTGAGGACAATCAAGTTCAGCGATATCATAAGCATTGGCCATCTGCAATAAAGCAATCATCTCATGAAACTAGTAGCAGTTCTTTGCTTAGGCAAAATGTGCAAAAGTTCACATCATTGTTACAAGACTTAAAACAAACTACTGATGATACCAAGACTTTAGGATAAATTCTGGGCATATCAGAAATATAGGCTAACAGATTTGTGAGCTCTTCTGGGGTGTTGGAATTTTGACCCTCTGACAGTTCCACATCTGCACAGGTGGAAGACAGCATTACGTGAAATAACTGTTAATACACTAGAGAATGGAAATTCGATGCATAATAATTATATAACCATCATCATCATTATCATCATCATCATCATCATCATCATCATCACTTAAGATAGCCATTCGGAGTTTGGCCGCTTAGAGGCGGTATTGGTGCAGCTTCCGCTTTAGACAGACGTCATTTCCTGTGCGGGTACGAGCCGTTTTTCCGGCAGCAGTGGCGGAGGAATGGAATCAGCCGTGGAGCTGTAGCCTGGGGTGGGGAGGGGGGAGAGAGTAGATGTGTGTCCGTGTCAGGGAGGTAAAGACGAAAGCCTGGCCGACTGTGCAGGGACGAAAACCAGGGAGAACACGTCCGGGCGCAATTTGGCTTATTCTTGGTTATTTAAAGCTAGCTAGCTGATGTACCTAAATAATTACAGCGGAGAGGCGGAGCACGACGGGATAAGCCTTGGCGCGCAGCTGTAGCGCCGCATCAGCCGCTTTCTGAGCCCAGCGCCGTGTCTTCCTGACGATGGGAAACGCAGCTACGGCCAAGAAAGGCAACGAGCTGGAGAGCGGTGAGTGACACTTTTGGGGTGCCGGGGATGGTAGCGGGGGCTGTCCGGAATGTCAGCCGGGGGAGCGATATGGAAAGCGGCGGGGGGAGGGCGGTGGAGGGATGGAGGGAGGGGGGGCATTAGGGTGCACACTCATTCATCCCTCCTGGAGTATATGCATCCTCCTCCCCTTTAAAAAACACAATGTGAATGCTGCTGTAGCTGTCAGGCCGTGCAAATGAAATGTAAAGGATATGCATGCACGGGAGGGCACCTATCTCAGCACATTGAAATGAATGAACTCAAATTGTGCAGCAAATCAAGGGAGAAACCTCGAATCGGGAAGACACTGATGGTCCCGTGTCCTGATGTTCTCATAAAACTTGCGGGCCTCGTATGAGACGTCTGTGTAACGGTACCCTGAGAAATGCATGTAATTATTAGTGTATAGTTAAATGCGACGTATCCACCGCCTAACTTGGCATGCCCAATAATTCAAATGGGATAGAAGTTGCAGCACTGTCAGGTGTTTACCTTTAGGAAAACTTGGGGTAGATGCGTGTGACCTTATTCCGCGATCACACTGCTAGTTGGCTGGTAATACCTTAGTAAGGCGGCTTGGCTTAGACAGCTTACGGCCGGTGCCGAAGTTCTGCCATGATCCAGGAGCTATGGCCAGCTGTCAGGGTAGGGGACGATGTCTTCAATGAAACAAGCCTGTTCGAGATCACCAGAATAGTAATGTCTAGTGAAGTTTATACCTTCGACATGTAAACTTTTTTTAAATGTCGGTTTTAAATATGTTTTTTAATGGTAGTGATGATCAGGTTTCTTACTATTGGCAATGCACTTATTTCCTCAATTAGCCTAACATAAATAGAGATGCTTGGATGCATATGCTACACAGAGACTACACTGTATCTGCTGAGGAATTCAATTCAATAGGTTTATTTCACTTGGCATCTTTTCATTCATTATTACTTCACAAACAAACATCAAATAGAAACAGTCAAGTGAAAAAGATGTTTCAAAGGAATGTTTCAAAGCATTCATTTTTTTTTATCAGTGGAAAATATGATGTTCAGAAGATTAATTATAATAATTTTGTTTTGTATTTTGTTGTTCAGGGTGAGCCTGTATCAGATAAGCGGTTAGGGATGGATGGATGGATTTTTCTTGCTGAAATTCTTAATGAATTTCTGTATCAACAGTGAGAATTTCTGCTTTCCTGTCCTGCTATTTAATGCTTAGATGGCAGATGCACATGAGAGAATAGCAGGGCATTTTTAATCATTTGACTCATCCAATAAAACTGATTAATGTGGCACACCGTTGCTACAGTTAAGACTTTAGAAGAGGTGAGGCGCTTTCAAATTATTCATGCCTTCAGTTGTGTAAACATAATGTGGCTTTTCTACAAATGACTTAATGTTCATAGCCAGTAAAGGTTTGATCTTATTACAGAAATGGTGAAGCTATATGTCAGGTTTTGGTGTGTTGCAAACAGTACATTCTTTAAAATTAAGTGCTTGTGATAAAAGTGAAGGTAATATAAAGCTGAACTGTCCAAATAATCAATAAGGATTGTTACTGCTGCAGTTTTTTAGCAAAAAGTCTGAAATGAAGGGTTTGAGAGAGAAAGAGAGCATTAGTGGACCGGATGCTTTTTCGGTGAATGTTGTTATAGATGTTGAGTCTATTGAGAATATCTTACATATGGATCAGTGTTGCTCTTCCTTCTCACATCATTCCAAATCTTCATGGCTACATACCGTATTACCTTAGTGGGTGGCTTGGAGATTATCGTTCTGCAATTTACTTCTTAGAAGTTCATTTCATGGCTCTTTTCTTAGGCTTAAATGTCATCATGGTTCTTGTATAAAGTGCTTGTGTGTGATTCTGTGTATAACAGTTCTGTATTCTTTTTTCACCCTAATACATGTGGAATGCTAGATAGATGTAGTACTAGATAGATATTCACTTTAACTTTTAAATGTTTTTAGATGGGTGAGGTTGTGTTCAGCTTTGGCACGAGATCCATGGTAACTGTTGCAATTTGATCTGTTGTAGTGATAAATGTCAGAGATCAGGTACAGGGAGTTGCTAAAACTTAAGTATAGGACTGGGCATATGTGCTAAAAAGAATTGTTTCTTCTGTTGAGTAGGAGGTGCATATCTGCTCATCATTCCTAATGTTTTTTCAATATATACACTATAGTAGTACCATTTTATCATTGGCATTGTTTTAGGTTAGTGTTTTAATTGTTTGACCGCATGCCTTTTGGGAAAGGATTCCTAAATAAAACAGGTGTGTAAGGTCGGAGAAGGCACATTCCGCTTATCAGCTTTTGCTGATTCATGGCTGTGTATACGGTTAAGGACATTTTGATGGAATTTTTAATAAACTGTCATTTAGCTTCTCTGCTACCTTTTAAAATAAATGCTTCATTAGTACATTTTATGTTGTTGGCAAAACAGTCAAGATCTTTCCTTTTAGACTTTGTAAAGCTGGGAGCTGCAGTTGTTTCAAATCATTTTTTGTGTATATTTAGTTTCTGTGTGTGTGTGGTCCAGGTATAAATTACATTGTGGGGACCACAATGTGATGAAAACCTGTTATTTTGACATTGTGGAGACCATTTCTTCAGTCCCCGCAAGGGGAAATTCAATTTTATTAAAAACCGTGACTGCAATAAAAAAAACTAAAAATTCCGAAAGACTTGGATTTTGTTTGGTTACTTGTGGTTAAGATTAGGGCTTGGTTGGGGTTAAGGTTGCCATTGTTGGGATTAAGGTTTTGCCCATAGAAATGAAGAGTCCCCACAAAGATATGAGTACAGGTCCCTCTCTGTCTCTCTCTCTGTATGTGTGTGTGGCTTTTCTGTGTGTAAACATGATTTTATTCTGTTGCTGTTATGGGTTACTACACAGGTTATATTGAGCTTGTGTTGAACATAATTTTCTGAATTCTTTTGTGGGTGTAAATCTGTCTGTCTGTCTGTCTGTATATATGTGTGTGTCTGTGTGTGTGTGTATGTCAGTGTCAGTATTTATGGGAAGAAGGATGGAAAGGTGAGTGACAGACATAATACAGTGCAGTTGCATCTTGCAATCATCATCCCAATCTGGCTTTCTTATTGTATAGGGGGAAAATGGAACAAAAAGCCGACTGTTATGCAGCCCAGTGCAGTCCCTTAACTGCCTGCTATGCCCTTTAGAAAATGGTTTGTGCCCTGTGTGTCTGTGTACGTAGACCGACACTTTCTTCACTGCAAAAGAGCGTAGGGCCAGTGGCAGCCTGCCTATGCAAATTTCTGCCTGCAAAGCATTATGAGGGAACCCTGTGGATACTGTCCCCCACGGTCTGTTTTGCAGTGTTGGAGATGCCTTTTCTGGGCATATGGATTTTCTGCTACCTAATGCTGGCGCTTGGTTAAGGTCTTGGAGAAAGTTATCGGTTATGCATTTAAAAATGCGTTAAGTTTTAAAAACCATATAAAATTGATTTCTGCTTCAATAGCCCACAAAAATGTAATAATGTTTAAAGGTGGATCTAAAAGGATTCTCATATTGATTGGCTATAATCAGTCACAATAATATTTAAACTCCCTATTCTATAGTGCCATTCTTTTTGACATTGTGGTTATTTAGACCACTATAGTGGTTTTGCTTAATGTTTTGCGTTGTTAATAAAACTAATTCCGTGCCCCTGTAAATAACCAATAATTGACCGCTCTGTCACTTGTTGATTAACTTTAATATGATTACCACATTTTTCGCTTAGTTGGTATCTCTAAATTGGCCTCAGCCATCTAGGCACCGCTTCTGCCCTGTGCTCTGTGCTGTGGGGGACAAGCCCCGCAGCTAACCAGGATTAGCGTGGATATATTTGCTTGCCTGTTCTAGCTAATATTTGACTGTTTATTATGGCTCCAACTGTTGCTTGTTATGTATATGATGTATAATCAAGGGCGTAACTTTGGCTGGAACATTAGGGGGGGAGGGGGGTTGAGGTCTCCACCAATTACTGGGGGGGTTGTATTAGCTGGTTTTGATTTATTGGGGGGAGGGGGTACAATCCCCCCATTCCCCCCGTAATTTAAGCCCATGTGTATAATTATAGCATATTCCGATTGAGTTTATTAATGAAATTAACTCGATTGTCTTATAACTGAAGAAGTGAATGTGAAACCCCCTCGTGGTCGAATAAAGCTGCTTTATTTCCCAACAGTAGCACTGAAAATTATCTACTTATTATGCTAAAAGTATCCATCCAGTGCGCTGGTTTGAAAGCGGCGCACTAAGGTGAGCCGCCTCGCCGAGCTCTCCTTTTCAGATGCTCCTCCATGCGCACCCCGCTACGCCGATTTATTTTTGCATATTTCACGCCGCACATAACCGTCCCCCACTTGTGTGGGGAAAAATGCCAGACCTCTGACTGCTTTGGCTGTCGACGCCCCGCTTTATATTCTTGCTTTGCCTCCGCTGTTTTTTTTTAAAGTCGAGATGCCGCTGAATGTCGCTACTGCTACTCTGCGTTTAGGATACACACTAATAAAGGAAAGTTCAGAAAATTCTCCCACTTATGAGTCTGAGAATCCAGTATAGATTTTTCTTTCGCACCATGTTCATTTTAGAAACTATCTAATTTTGGTTGCAGCCGGACTATTTACATGGCTTTCTATGAATGTGAACTGATGACGTCATGTAAAAAAAAAATATTAGATTTTTTTTTTAAGTTACAACTTGTTCCTATTCTGTTTACCAACTCTAGGGTAGTAAAATGACTGCATCAACGCAGCTGACATATGCTGGGTAACTATTCATGAATTATATATGAGTAGCCCATTCACATCCTGCGGTAACATTCACTGAGAAAGAATATTTCTCTCTTACTAAGTAGCCTGCCCACCAGTGATGCCAGATGCATTATAATAGTAATAATAATAATAATAGTAATAGTGCCTCCACGAAAGCATATAGTATTTGTTTTTATTATTTTTATTTGATCAATACCGCAT